CGCTGCAGGACCCGCGTCTGCTCACGGTGTCTGGGTCAGACCAAGGGCAATCCCCGCTAGACGTTCTCGATGGTGCAGGCTCGGATGCGGTCGGTGGTGAGGCAAGTCAGGGCTTTGAGTTTAGCTCCCAGAGTTTTGGCTTTCAGGGTGTATATGATGGGGTTCCCCAAGCAGTTCATGGTTATCAGCATTGCTGTGCAGTTCCGAAAGATGTAGACGCCTGGGTAAAGGTCAGTCTGGCACCGATGGTTGGTGGCATCAAATATGACTCCTGCGAAAAAAGGAGCGTAGGAGATCAATGCCAGGAGCCAAATAAAAATACTGGTTCTGGCCACCTGGATTTCAGCTGATTTGTAGGTGCTGGTGGCTTGTCCACACGCCTTCATTCTCAGCTTTCTTTTCCTCAGGATGATAATGATTCTAAGGTAAGTGAACAGAGGTATAATAAAAGCCACCACGACATTGGGAATGGCAATGAAGATGAGGTAGTTGACACAAAATGGGCTGTACAGGACAGAAAGATTTTCTTCCACGTGCAAGCAGTTCCACCCCATCAAAGGCAAGCAGCCCAACAAAAAAGCAAGGACCCAGTTAATTAAAACCACAGCTATGGAGTGGCTTCTAGCAATCCTGAATCTTGTCCTCATGCTTTCAGCCACAGCCAGGTAGCGTTCAATTCCAATGCTCACCAAGTTATAGATAGTGGATAAAATAGATGTAGTATATAAGGCATAAGGTGCAAGCATATCCTTGGATCCAAAGATTGTAATGTCAGGATTGGTGATGAACAGCATCGAAATCCAAAAGCCTGAAAAGCTGGTGAAGAGATCAGAAAAAGCCAAATTGCAGAAGAGGATAGAGATAGGCTTGTGCAGGTCCTTTGTCGCCATCCTGGTGAAGATGACTGTGCAGTTGAAGATCACAGATGTTATGTTAATGGTCAGCTGAGGAATGCCCAGTGCAAGCACTAAATAATGACCCCAAATTTTAGTGTGGTTAGCAGAGCAATTTGGGTATCCATTCATGGTGGAAAATCCTACTTTCAAAGGTTAAAGAGATCTGCTTTACTCATCCCATATTCCACAAGAGACCACACTAACCGAGTGCTACTGCCACCTTGTTCTCTGGGTGAGAAATGAATCCTGACACACAGCTTCTACTGCCACATCATCATCATCACAGTGGATTAAACTTTAACCACTCATGTTTTTAAATATTTGGGTTACCAACTCAGGGCACAGCCAATTACTTCGAAGTTGCTAGGATAGCCAAAAGTGGAAAAAATGTTTACTACTATACAGATGATCTGCTTAAAGCAACCTGTATCAAGGGCAAATTCTGGCCAAATATTTTTTAAGATGAATTATCACAACAGTAGTTTAAACATCTTTAAGGATATTCTGCAATGGAATAAATGCAAACTGAGTTTTAATTCATAAATAAATGAAATGGATGAAGGACTAGAGAGTTAGAAAATGGAGAGCAGTAATTTTTTGGTTTTGGAAGGCGTGGATTATGTGATTAATGGACCTCAAAGAAGAATCTAACTATGTCACTAATCTGGACCCCAGTTCAGTGGTAATGTAAATCCTAATTTCAGATCAGCTCTCATGACATCACAAAATTTCTAAAGTGCTCAAGGCTGAGCAAGAGACAAGAGAACCTGGTTGTTCACTGTCTCTTGCTTACGATTACAAACTGATGCAACGAACAGCAGCTGTTTCTCTAAGCATGGTGAGATCATATCCACAGAACCAATCCCCAAACTTGTAAGCAAAACCATACAATGAACTGCAGCACTTCAAAGGGGATGCAGAACGGTAAGGGTCTGTCTCCACAGATGTTCTTGTGCTTGGACCCACAGAAACATCTCTGTGCTGAATACTGGAGTACTCAGAAGCTGTCAGAATACACCTGGAATACCTTTGTTACAGGAGATTTTGGTTTTGCTTATATGAAGTTGATGTGTGTCAATATTATATCATTATAGCTTTTCTTTCTCTGTCTTTTTAAAGGGAAATTATTTTTGAGAACTAGATTTAAAATATTTGAGGCCTGGGGAAAATGCTCTTTGCCCACACATTCAGTGCTGTCAGACAGCAGAGGGCACTGCTGGAACAAACACCACAAGATACGGGTGGAATATGGAGATTTTGAACACCCGAGCGGATTAGGTGAGCTGTACCTCAGTGTATGAATATGAACAGCACCGTGGGACTTATTCTACACAAAAGGAGCTGTTTTTAATTGCTAAAGCTGAGTGTGGGTCGCCTCTGTGTCACCCTCCATTTTATTAAAAATGCCTACATTCAAGCAGAAATCTCCAGGATGCTCTGGCTGCCACCTGGCATCTATCTGCTACTGAACAGCTTTTGTCTAGCAAAATTACCTAAGTAAAGCCACAGCACTTACAAAGTCATTCCCATGTATTTTTTGTTGTTGTTGTTGTTGTTATCCTAATAAAGGATTCATTTGCATTAGTAGCAACTTTATACCATGATAGTGCAACAGCAGTTCAGCTAAGTTTATGGGCTTTCAGCATTCAGTGCCGAATTCTGATCAGTATAGCAATAATTCCAGCTCTCAGACTGTAAATCTGTGAACTATATGATAGCATTTACAGCATAAGTATATACTATATACTAAAAATATTTTAGCCAAAGGACTAATAGTATTTCATATGGCCACAAAGAACTGGAAAGAATTATTTTCTACAAATAACGGCTGAGAATTGATTAATCAAGTCTGCTGATGTATTAATATCTTATAAAATATTATTCTCCAAGTGTCATAGATAAACAATTCTTTGTGCATCCTATAGTCCACCTCATGCAGACTTGTCAACCACATCTTTGGTGAGAGGTTGCTGCTGAACAAGGACTCTACTATTTCTGTCACCTTGTCAGTGCCAGCACCACAACTCAGCAAGTGTTTTTAATACCAGCCAGTAAGTCAGCAGGTACCTACAGCCCAGCTGAACATCCATCAGGTGCAGTGGAGGACACCAGACCAGGGCACACACACTCCTAATCTCTCTTGGTTGTATTTCCTGTGTCTCTGTGAAGTGAGGGAGGGGCTGAGGGCTGTGATGAACTGCAGGATATCCATAAAGTGCAACAGCTTCAAAAATATCCTAGTTACTAAGAAAAGTATACCCATGAACTCCAAAGTGCCCTAGATATTCCTGAAAATACTGCCTGAAATTTCCCTCATTTGAAAATTCAGTGTTCAAACATGAGACATTAAACAGTATGAGATCAGAATGCAATTAAAAACCAATATGAAGTAGTATAACTAGCACTTCACAAAAGCTTTGGAATCTTTTTCCCCCAATATAATTGCATAAAAATTTGCGTAACTGTTGCTAGACTAAAGGAGACAATATCATTGTGGAAACTGCTTTTCTAGTGGGCTTCAATACACAGAAAAATCTGGATTTGTAAATTCCACCCCTCTATAATAACATTTGAGCTCTGAAAAACAGAAGTAGTAATTTTAATTGAAAACACTGTATGAGACAGAGGGATACTATGTAGTCTAATCTGTACATGTCACAATCTCAATTCAAAGGAATTCTTAACACTCCCATATTCCAGGAACTTCACAATCTTGTAGACTCACAACACACCTGAGAGGAAAGAGTAAAGCTGGTGAAGAGATCAGAAAAAGCCAAATTGCAGAAGAGGATAGAGATAGGCTTGTGCAGGTCCTTTGTCGCCATCCTGGTGAAGATGACTGTGCAGTTGAAGATCACAGATGTTATGTTAATGGTCAGCTGAGGAATGCCCAGTGCAAGCACTAAATAATGACCCCAAATTTTAGTGTGGTTAGCAGAGCAATTTGGGTATCCATTCATGGTGGAAAATCCTACTTTCAAAGGTTAAAGAGATCTGCTTTACTCATCCCATATTCCACAAGAGACCACACTAACCGAGTGCTACTGCCACCTTGTTCTCTGGGTGAGAAATGAATCCTGACACACAGCTTCTACTGCCACATCATCATCATCACAGTGGATTAAACTTTAACCACTCATGTTTTTAAATATTTGGGTTACCAACTCAGGGCACAGCCAATTACTTCGAAGTTGCTAGGATAGCCAAAAGTGGAAAAAATGTTTACTACTATACAGATGATCTGCTTAAAGCAACCTGTATCAAGGGCAAATTCTGGCTAAATATTTTTTAAGATGAATGATCACAACAGTAGTTTAAACATCTTTAAGGATATTCTGCAATGGAATAAATGCAAACTGAGTTTTGATTCATAAATAAATGAAATGGATGAAGGACTAGAGAGTTAGAAAATGGAGAGCAGTAATTTTTTGGTTTTGGAAGGCGTGGATTATGTGATTAATGGACCTCAAAGAAGAATCTAACTATGTCACTAATCTGGACCCCAGTTCAGTGGTAATGTAAATCCTAATTTCAGATCAGCTCTCATGACATCACAAAATTTCTAAAGTGCTCAAGGCTGAGCAAGAGACAAGAGAACCTGGTTGTTCACTGTCTCTTGCTTACGATTACAAACTGATGCAACGAACAGCAGCTGTTTCTCTAAGCATGGTGAGATCATATCCACAGAACCAATCCCCAAACTTGTAAGCAAAACCATACAATGAACTGCAGCACTTCAAAGGGGATGCAGAACGGTAAGGGTCTGTCTCCACAGATGTTCTTGTGCTTGGACCCACAGAAACATCTCTGTGCTGAATACTGGAGTACTCAGAAGCTGTCAGAATACACCTGGAATACCTTTGTTACAGGAGATTTTGGTTTTGCTTATATGAAGTTGATGTGTGTCAATATTATATCATTATAGCTTTTCTTTCTCTGTCTTTTTAAAGGGAAATTATTTTTGAGAACTAGATTTAAAATATTTGAGGCCTGGGGAAAATGCTCTTTGCCCACACATTCAGTGCTGTCAGACAGCAGAGGGCACTGCTGGAACAAACACCACAAGATACGGGTGGAATATGGAGATTTTGAACACCCGAGCGGATTAGGTGAGCTGTACCTCAGTGTATGAATATGAACAGCACCGTGGGACTTATTCTACACAAAAGGAGCTGTTTTTAATTGCTAAAGCTGAGTGTGGGTCGCCTCTGTGTCACCCTCCATTTTATTAAAAATGCCTACATTCAAGCAGAAATCTCCAGGATGCTCTGGCTGCCACCTGGCATCTATCTGCTACTGAACAGCTTTTGTCTAGCAAAATTACCTAAGTAAAGCCACAGCACTTACAAAGTCATTCCCATGTATTTTTTGTTGTTGTTGTTGTTGTTATCCTAATAAAGGATTCATTTGCATTAGTAGCAACTTTATACCATGATAGTGCAACAGCAGTTCAGCTAAGTTTATGGGCTTTCAGCATTCAGTGCCGAATTCTGATCAGTATAGCAATAATTCCAGCTCTCAGACTGTAAATCTGTGAACTATATGATAGCATTTACAGCATAAGTATATACTATATACTAAAAATATTTTAGCCAAAGGACTAGTAGTATTTCATATGGCCACAAAGAACTGGAAAGAATTATTTTCTACAAATAACGGCTGAGAATTGATTAATCAAGTCTGCTGATGTATTAATATCTTATAAAATATTATTCTCCAAGTGTCATAGATAAACAATTCTTTGTGCATCCTATAGTCCACCTCATGCAGACTTGTCAACCACATCTTTGGTGAGAGGTTGCTGCTGAACAAGGACTCTACTATTTCTGTCACCTTGTCAGTGCCAGCACCACAACTCAGCAAGTGTTTTTAATACCAGCCAGTAAGTCAGCAGGTACCTACAGCCCAGCTGAACATCCATCAGGTGCAGTGGAGGACACCAGACCAGGGCACACACACTCCTAATCTCTCTTGGTTGTATTTCCTGTGTCTCT